CTATCGGAGGACGAAAATTCTCTATGAAAATTTCTCGGACATTCAGGCCGGTAAATGTTGTTTAATACTGTTTATTATAAAAACAGAGCATTTACTTAAATATTTGTATCTATAAAAAGAATGTATAAACTTAAAAATGTCTTAAAATAAAATCATTTGTTCATGTGACTGAAACGGAATTTGAACATTCTCAGGAGAGTTGTGAATTCTGAGGCGATCTAGAATTACTTGCTCTTGCTGCCGACATGTATTCTTTGGAACATATTTCTCCAATATACAGAGAGCGATAGATAAATTGTCGTCTAAATTACGCATGAAAATGAAAATAACAGATATCTCATTTTAACAGATATATTTACCAATATTACACAAAATATCTTAAAATACTAAAGGGTAAATATATTTAATAAAATCGCCACTGCCTTCAACCACGGCCTCCAGACGACTTCGGAATCCCCTGCAACATTTCTGGACGATCTCCTTGATGTTGTTGAATACTGCCATAATCATAGCCATCTTTGGTGTTACAAGCAGTTTTGTTGGTCTCTTGCTCTGGTGTGCTCCACACATAATAATCAATGAGGTTGCAGTTAGGTGGCCAGATACAAGAGGTGATATGGTCGCAGAAATTAGTCTGCTACCCATGACTGGGTTTTCTACTTTTTGGGCATGGTGCAGAGTCTTGTTGCCAAATATAGCGTGTTCCAGCGGTCACCCTCTTGATCCAGGGCAGCACTACCTCCTCAAATCACTTGATGTAGGCCTTCGTGTTGAGTCTGAGGCCCTCACCAAGAAATTCTGGAGTTCTTTTCTTATCAGAACGATCAGAGTGAGTTTCCCGTGCTGCCGTAACTTCGTAATCACCATGAGACTCATTCAACTCTTTTCGAATCTTCTGTACTGTCCTCTGAAATGTTCGTATTGGAGCTTCTTGCGCGAATGCCAAGCAGTAAAAAATGCCGTTTCCAAATTTCTCGAGAATTGAATTGCGTCATAGTGTTCTGTTTCTCAAAGACTGCACCCAACTGACCCTACTATACTGTGCAGTCGCCCAAATCAAAAACAAACAACGCGCATGCGCGAAATAAAAAATATAAAATGGCGACAATTTACACTGTTATTTTTATCCAACTACATAGACCAGCCTGAATATGCGAGAAATCTTGTCAGAAAAATATGCCTCCTCCAATAGGATTCGAACCAGCACCTGGGAAGTGCCTAACCGCTCGGCCACGTAGGACTTACTGACAGACAAAGCCCAAATAGTACCTTTAGAATACTCACTCTCTACCGATCGTATCCTAACTTAAACACAGATAATTTATTTTTAGTAAATGGATACAATCCGACATATTGTTATTTTTAATTTATTTTGTTTAACTGTTATTTTTTTAAAGATACTCATATTCGAATAGAAGCTCTGTTTTTTTTTAATTAAACAGTATTTTTATCCAGCTACATCGACCAGCATGAATATTCCCGAAATCTCGTCAGGAAAAATATGTGCACTCCTACAGGATTCGAACCTGCATCTCCTTTAAGGGACTGTCACTGGATCTGACATGCCTAACCGCTCGGTCACGTAGGACTTCAAACAAAGCCCGAATAATGCCTTTTGAACACAGACACTCTCTGCCGATTCTCGAATATATATAGATATAGTGATAGATAGATAGACGTGTGTGTGGAGGGTAATTGTTTATGTGAGGGTGGGGTTTTCTCTTATATTTATATGTTCCGAAAGATATACAAACAAGTGGCGCTAGTAACAGTTGCTGAGATCCGTAAATTTCAAACACTTTATCTCTCTTAATGTCATCTCGATGTGAAGTAAATCTCTTTGATTCGCACTAATTATTTCCAGAGATTTTCGTCTCTCAATCAAACTGACATACGATACGATCACGTGACCTCAATAGCGGCTATAAGCTGAAGAGACACAGTCAGTCGAGGAAAAGTTATGGCCGGTCCAGCGTCTTTAACGAGAAACACAAGCCAACGATGCAGAAGAAAATCCCAAAGCCAAATGGCGCGGAGAGAACGAAAAGTAAAATATCCATGGAGGTGGCGTGAGCAGGAAGAAACGAGACCGGAAACGGAAAGAAGAAAGAAATAGAAACAAGACGAATTGACCAAGTCTTATGAGTGTGTTAAATTTCTACTGTACACAACTCTTAACATAGTCATTACTTTACACATGGAGTGCTTTATCAGTGACTCTCAAAATGGATGATTATTACCACGAGAATAAGGGCATAAGCACGTCCTATTAAAAGAGACTCGGTTGAAATTCTTCTTCTCTGTATTGTGTCCCTACAGGACGTGGGTGAACACGGCTCTCCAGAAATTCCTATCCCTCATATCCCTTAGCAACGATTCTTCCATTGCCAACCCCCCGCCCCGCGTCACGTTTCGCCATCTATTCACGCAGCTTGTCAGGTATTTAAACTTCTGCAAGCAAAGAAACGAGAAAGCTTCTTTAGAAACAAAGAAAAAGGCTACTGTACTATTACGTAATATCATTCCTCCCATATGGCAGTGAATGTTGGACAAGTTCCTCAAAGATGAAGAATAAACTTGAGGCAACAGAAATTTGCTTCCACAGAAACATGCTGAGAATACCACGGTGTGAACATGAGCAACGAGGAAGATTTAGAGAAAATGGAAACAAAGAGGAAACTTATATTCAACACCAGAAAGTGGTAATTAAAATTTCTAGGGCACTTCATGAGGGATTGGAAAATTTAACACACAAAGGACATGATGACTGCGATAGTAATGCAACAATGACAAGAAAAACAAAAAACAAAAATACAGACAGTTTATACACAATTCAGAATCCGACTGGAAAAGTAAAATAAAACAAAATTAAACTGACAAATCTTGTCGCTTGTGTGTGCGTGTGTACAAGCTTAAAAAGTGACCTATCGGGCGGCATTTAAGCTATCTCCAGCTTCTCTTGATTGGGCCTTCATTATAATAGGTAGATTTAGATTCGACAGGCAACAATAAACTACAAAAGAACTGAAAATTGATCTCTGCATTTAAGTATTGCATTAATATTTAAGCCTGCCTTTTAAAAGTTCAACGATAATGCTTCTGTCGCCATTTTAATTTAAAGACAATTTCATCTACGTAGCTTCTTAATTCCCGTACAAACAATTATTTTTATTTCATGACTGACTTTCACCGGATTTCGCAACTAATTTCGTTTGTCCCCACATTTATTCCCACATTATAACCATTGTTATTGTAAAAAAAAAAATCGACACAAAAATCACGTAAAACATCACCGTAAACAATCGAAAACTTTGGAATGCAAAATTTTAGGATTACCGGTTTAATCCGGCTCGAAATGTTTTTAATTAGTTCACGGAGTCGGCCCGATTCCAAAATGGTATATGTTGGTCTACGGCCTCTAGGAGTAAAGTTGAAAACACCGACAATTTTATTTTGAAATACTGTAATGCGAGTCAATAATTTTTTCATTTGAACATGAGCTTTTGAAAGTTAGAGATTTGTGCTTTTTTATTTGTTTGTATTAGTTTAGAAGCCAAGATGGCGTTATACGAAAACAATCGCATGATTGAAAACTCGGGAACCAAAATTTAAGGATTGCGGATACAGATCTGGCCCGGAATGTTTTTAATTTGCTCACAGAGTCGGTCTGATTCCAAAAGGGTATATCTTGAGCTACAGCCTCTAGAAGTAAAGTTGAAAAATGTAACACAGTGACACTGAAATTTGCATTTATTATATATATATATATATATATATATATATATAGATAGGTTGGTGCAAAAATAATGATGTATTAATGTCGTTTTTTGACTTTAAAAATACGTCAAAAAACGACATTATTACGTCGTTATTTTTGCACCAACGTAATATATATACGAACAAAAATTTTATAGCACAGAATTTATATATTCTTTAAAAAATGACGAGCGCATTCTTTTTAAAAACAACAGTTCACATCCAACCTTTCTTCAGAAAGATTCGTTGGAATAAACAAAACAAACATACACAAAAAATAGTCATAAAATGCGAAAAATTGAATATACATATATATATATATATATATATATATATATTATATATATATATATATATACATATATATATATATAATTTTTATTATACATGTGACATATATATTTTCACATTCTCACATATATATATATTCTCTCTCTCTCTCTCTCTTACATATATATATCATAAACAAACAATTTATACAAATAATTAAATAATGTTAATGTGATTAATGACGGAATCACTTCGCTAACAAGACTCAATGAGACATTAAATTTGTATAAATTCCTTGAATAATAAAGTACTTGGTATGTGTCTTCCATTTGGCAGCAACTTGAATATAAGGATCTTATTGCTATTTAATTCTTTGTATAAATTGTTTCTTGATGATAAAAAATACAAGCTGCACACTCTAATATATATATATATATATATATATATATATATATATATATATATGAAGAAATATAGTCTTAATATGTGCTATATTTATGGGATAAAGTGCTCGATATCAGAGATAGAGCGTGTGTAAATATAAAAGTTATATCATGCTATATGCGTGTGTAAATATATAGTGATATCATGCTATATAAAAGTGATATCATGCTATATGCAATCGTCAGGCCTGACGATTGCATATAGCATGAATCCTCGTTTTTCTCTCCCCAACTATGGGTAAATAGCAGGACAGGTCGTGATCTATAGACTTGGATGGCAACTGGTCTATCGCAGAAAGAAATGGCAACCTACTGCAGGAAAAAATCTGCCTCATCAGTCATGTATTGAAAGACACATGATCGCCTAAGCGTGAATGGCACATAACTGACTGAAACGGAAACGTCCATTCACGATTTGTATGAAATTGAAACAAACCGCGAGGGATAATGTTGTTTAGCCTTTCCTTAAACCTTTTATCTCACCTTAATTTTTGTCCTGAATTCATAAATTCTTCCTCTTTCTTGTATTGCTTACGGTCATATGACGTTGAAACAGCGGTTCTCCTTCGATCACCGAAGTTAATCAACTTTAAACCTGATCAGTGCCTAGATGGGTGACCACCTGAGAATACCAGTCGCTGTAAGCTTGGGTGTGCGGGTGGTGTAATGAATAACAACACGGAATTGTAAATCAGAGAGCCGTGTTCCAATTCCAATCGGGCTCGTTATATTCACTTACATGCAAATAAACTTGAGAAAGGTATGAAGCGACCCCTCCCCTCCAATAGCTATGGGTTAATTAGCATCAGTAAATCATTATCATCTTAAAAAAAAGAATAAAATCTTTTACAATCTAAAAATATTTTCTGGCTTTAAATAACTTACAAAGGTTGATAAGCCGTAAAAAAACAAATCACTCAAATTAAATCAATATCTTTCTTGTACTCATAAATCCTTTGTCTCTCCTTTTCTTTCATTCATGCTTTTAAATTTCGTCCCTTTTCTTCATTTGCTTGTGTTTATTTTATTTCATTCTTATCCACAGTCTTTTTCGATTACACATTTCCTTTCTTTCTTCCTTTCTTTTCTTATTTTTGCACTTTACTTATTTCTATCTTTCTTTCTTAACACATTTGTAGGCCTTCATCAAGAGCCTTTTATCAATGAAATAAAATTTTTGGGAAATCTTGATTGTAATTATTGTCATCAAATAACTAATAAGTCATATTCTTTGGTTCTGTAGAAAAAAAAAATGGCATCCTAAGAAAAAATTAACCGAAACATCTCATATGAACAGCATAATGAGAATGGATTGAATTAAAGTTTTTGTCTACAACAGTCATCTGAAGATGGTCAGAAAAGCAATGGTTGTAATATTGATACTCTAATAAACAAGGACAGTAATCCAAATACATCCCCCATATACATATATATATATATATATATATATATATATATGTGTGTGTGTGTGTGTGTGTCTGTGTGTCTGCGTGTGTGTTTTGAATAATAAAATATTATATATATATATATATACATGTATATTATTTTATATACGCAGTACTTAGTGGAAAGCGGTCACTATCAGTGATAGAGCTAACATAATAAGTTGTATGGTAAACAGGAAAAGAAATATAATTTGGTTTTTACCCACCATTCAACAAAATTGTAAGAATAAACATCAGCAGGGCATTCCTAAATCTAATAAAAACATTACTCCCCCGTAACCCTTTAGCAAAAATATTTAATAAAAACACCTTAAAAACTAGCTACAGCTTCACCAAAAACATAAAACAAATAATAAAATGCCACAAAAAAGAATAATAAGAACTTGCAATTGTGTAATCAAATACCCACCAATGCAAACCACATACATACTACAAGGAAACTGCCTACAAATGAACATAATATACAGAGCCAAAGTAAACGCAAACATTACTAAAATGAATTACATTGGCGCCACAGAAGGGACATTAAAACAAAGAAAATATACTCACGACCTCTCATTCTCTAACAGAAAATTCTCCAACAGCACCACACTATCCTTATACATATGGCAACTAAAATACAAAAACATAACACCAAAAATAAACTGGGAAATCATGAAGACTGCACCTACCTACAATGACATATCAAAGAGTTGCCTACTCTGTCTACACGAAAAAGTGGCAATAATCTGCCACACTCAACAAAAGTCCTGACCTCCTCTACCGACAAGGCTGAATGCTTTGCTCGAAAATTTTCATTCAATTCGTCGCTCGACTCTTCCGGTGTACCCATAACCGACTTCCCTCTTAGAACTGAGGCCGTATTGAGTGGGTTAAACATAACCCTATCTTTGGTACTGGCCGTTATCTCCAATTTAGAAGGCTAGTGGTGGATACGGGATACCAGCCATTGTCTTGAAGAAATGCGCGCCTGAACTGGCGCCCGCCCTTTCTAAACTATACAACTACTGCCTCAAAGAATCTTGTTTTCCTGACTGCTGGAAGTCCTCTTCGATCATTCCTGTCTTCAAGAACTCCGGCGACCCCTCTGACCCTTCCAACTACCGTCCTATCAGTCTCTTTCCTCTCTTCGGCAAAATCTTCGAAGCCCTAATCAATACCGAGGTGGTTAACCACCTCACATCTCATAATCTGCTCTCAGACAAGCAATATGGTTTCCGCTTTGCCCGATCTACAGCCGATGTGCTTACGGCCATCACTGAAACAGTCTACCGAGCTCTTCAAAATAACAGGGAAGCCCGAGCCGTGGCACTAGACATTTCCAAAGCATTTGATAGGGTTTGGCATGCCGGCCTTCTTCGCAAACTCCAGGGTTATGGCATTACAGGTCGATTATATTACCTAATACGATCATTCCTGTCAAAACGTGAATTGAAGGTCGTTCTCAACGGATTCTCCTCCAGTTCCTATCCCACGAACGCAGGTGTTCCTCAGGGCTCCATCCTAGGCCCCATCTATTCATCTACATAAATGACCTTCCTGACGCCATAACTTCCCAAGTTGGCATCTACGCGGATGACACCACAGTTTATTCCTGCCTCAAAAACAAATCTAGTCTCGCTGACAAAACTCACCTGGCCGTGCGTCTCGAAAAGGACCTCCAATCAATTATGAACTGGGGCATGAATTGGCTGGTCAACTTCAACGCTTCTAAGACAAAACTGCTCTCTATTAATCACCACAGAGAGCCTTCCCTTCCCTCCATTAGAATGTCTGACGCTTAACTTCTCGAGAGCAACTCTCTGCGGCTTCTCGGTCTCACGTCGACTGCTGACCTGAGATGGAATAAATACATTGAGTCAATTGCTTCATCCACCGCAAGGGAAGTTGGCTCCCTGAGACGCGCCAGGAAGTTTTTCTCCCTGGAGTCGATCCTCCAGATCTACAAATCAACAATTCGCCCTTGCATGGAGTATTGCTGCCATATATGGTCTGGTGCCTCTTCTGTTTGCCTCGGGGTTCTTGATAGGCTCCAGAGGCGGATGTGCAATGTAGTTGGCCCTGCCCTGGCGTCTCGTCTACAGTCACTTTCTCACAGACGCACCGTCGCCTCTCTCTGTCTGTTTTACAAATACTTTCATGGCAATTGTTCCGAGGAGCTGCATTTGCTGGTTCCCAGACTTCATAAGTTCAAGCGCCCTACGAGGCTGGCATCCCGCTCTCACCCCTTCACTGTCGAAACTCCTAAATGTAGCCGTCTCTTCTACTCTAATAGCTTCATGTCTCGCACCTCTCGCCTGTGGAACTCCCTTCCCTATTCCTGTTTCCCTGTGAGCTATAATCTCCAGCTATTCAAGTGTAATGTCAATCGACATCTCCAGTTGCCTTGATCTATCCACTACCCTCATCCTTTCTTCTATCACTCCTATCTGATCTTGCTCCAAACTTTCTGTAACCCCTTGCGTCCTAGTGGCTTCTCGCCTTGCTTGGCGTGAAATGCTTAAAAAAAAGAAAAAAAAAAGGAATTATTAAACCTTAGCTCGGAAATAATTTCAAAATGCAGACACGAAAACAAATATCTATTATCACAGTTCATATCAAACGGATAACACCTACATCTTAACTGAACACAACCAGGAATGAAACTATATAAAATGATACCAACAATACCACCACACCCCCTAACGCAACCACCACCATAACAATCAAGTTAGACCGATAAAACTATCCATACCATTACCTACACTACCGTCACTCTTACCTTTCACTTCATAACCATCTTCTCTACCACCATTACTGCTTTTTAACACCGCCATTGTTATTATCATCTTCATTATTGTTATAATATATGTATTATTATCATCATCATTATCAATTATTATTGTAACCACGATTGTCATTATCGCCCACTCTTTTTTAATTCCGTCATTAAGGCTAAATTTACCGTTAACACATCAATATTCCGGCTAAGGCAGTGGAGAACTTTCAGAGGGAAAAATTAACAGGAGCTAACTGATAACTGACATCCATTAAACATGGCATGTGGAACTAGAACAGTCGACCCCAGTGAGCGAAATAAAGGGTTCGGTTCGACAATTCAACCGCCTGAAGAAGGCCGGAGCGTACAACGGCCGAAACGTTGAGATAAATATGGCGACAAAGATGAGGACAATAGTCCGAATGATGTAAATAATGTACATCAATATCTATTATTAACATTATCAATAGTAATTAATATCACAGCTATTATCACTACCAGCACAGTCACAACCGTCAACAACACACAAGCAGTTGGTATTGAAAATACAAGCATCATCACCACCATGAGCATAAACAGAATTCAGCTTCACCAAAGTGGTAGTGAAAAAGCCCAAATCGATAATAGTGTATGTGCGCGTTTATACATGTGTGTGCATATGTGTGTGGGAGGTAGTGTAAGTTTCTTTGACGACCCATGCGGTAGATCTGAAAAGCGTCAAGAACACCCCTATCCGCTCCCTGTTGAAACGAACATCGCTACACATAAAAAGCTAAGGTCATGACACCGAAATAGAATTATAACTGCGTATATATATGTAAGCCAAGAACGCATGGACATATATCTGCGCCTAGCTTTGAATTGCTTATATGGATGTGTTGGTGTGAACTAAAATGCGTACATCTGTATGTATGTGTCTATGCGTATCATGGAGCCACCCCAAACAAACGCAGATTCCCCCTCCCGCCACCAAAAATAGACAAACAAGCATAAAAAGATCCAATTTTTAAAAAATAAAAAATAAACCAGTTGGTCTGATGGCTGCAAAAGCATGAAACCCAGGATCACAAACTCATATCCATACAACTTATATTATATATATATATATATATATATATATATATATATATATATATAGAGAGAGAGAGAGAGAGAGAGGGAGAGCGAGAGTTAGTCATTTAAGTCAGAGAATGAGAAGAATTCTTTGAAGATTAAAAGAACAGATGTCAGGATGACAGAAAATGGCGACTGACGTTGCATTGGAATTTTCGAATATATATATATATATATATATATGATAGATTCTGGAGAGAAACGTTGTCTATCACGACACAGTGAACCTACATTTTGAGGAGTGGAGTTGAGTCACGGAACGGATATTCATTTAGAGTAAGTGAATTTTTCAATTTAATACATACATACATATATATATATATATATAT